CCTGCTACGTTATCGCGATTCTATCCCTCTAATGACGGGTCGTTCACGGGACGTAGCGCACACAAGATGCCTGTCATGCAACGCAGGAGGCGGCGTCATGGAGTCTTTATTGAAATACAGGGTATAGTAGCACAGAACAGCGTCAGTCGCGTGAGATAACGTTCATGAGTAAATCAGACATTGCGAGCAGCACAGCAAAGAAGCAGTCATTAAATAACGTTCATGACACCTGGTGCCTACACACACTCAGGCCGCGCGCTTACCCTAGATGATGAAGAGATGTCGTCCACCGTCGAGCCTCTACTCGCCTGCGAATAGCCGGACAAGCATGTAGGTGGTCGATCCAATGAACCTGACGACTGAACGGTATTTTATGAGTAGGCAACGTTAAATAGGATCACAACTACTCACGTGCGAGGCCTGCGACAGAGAACAAGATGAAGGCCAGATAGCCATCGACCGTACTGTTAGCACTACTCTCGGAGGACTTTCCGGTCAGGGTGCTAGACAGGATTGACGCCTAAGAATCATCAAGTAATAAAGTAGTAGGAGATGGGACGCACACAATGATAGCTGCCAAGAGTCCCTGTAGAGACCAGGTCAGACTCGGATGCGTGCGAGACATGGCATTTGGAAACTCACGTTGGACAGGGTCCAAACGAGCAGGACCTGAGGAATTATCATCAGTATTGTCTCATATTATCACCAGGCGGACCCAGCACCCACGCTACAAACAGACAGTCAGCATCGCGTGATGAGGATGATTGATTATGATACTCACTTTGTCCTGAAAGACTTGTAGTAATCTTCTTGTGCGGTCTTCTCATCCACCTTTGCCTCTTCAGGTGGCGGCTTCGTCTGCAGCACGTGGATCGCATCTTCGTACATCGCATTCAAGTCGTCCTTCTGGGTCGGCATCGTTACTTCCACCTCGGTTGCGTTCTTCGCTACCTGAACAACACCTAGGTCGGTGGAGACCTTGTTATCGCCCTTTGTGCCCCACGAGACATCATGTACATTCGCGAACTAGACAAAACAGCCAACAATCAATGAGGATTGAGCGCCAGGTGCCAGCGTAGACATACCGCATAGACATTCAGCACCGCGATGTACGACGGAGCCAGTAGGAGATACTGAAGGAAGGACGTGATCATGTGCCACGGCTCGAACTGAACACATAGTCAGTACGAAGACATCACAGAAAGAGGAACACGTCGCACATGAATGAGCGAGGCGATCACATATAGACCATACGTCGAGAGCAGTGAGATGACTATATCGCGGAAAATTGCGTTGGTGAAGAGGTCGCTGAATGTGAGGGTACCCTTCTCCTTCACAAGGTTCTCAATACTTTGGACCACGAGCAAAACAGCAGCAACCTGGATCAAACATGCCGTAAGCGCACATAATATCGGCTGAATGTAGAAGAGACGTACGGTCATGTAGACAGTAATCAGTGCGAAGCCTACCATTGCCGTCACGAAGGCCCATTTGGATCCTTGCGGGCGATTTCCCAGCGAGAGTAGGAAGCACATGATAAGAAGACCAAGGTAGACGTAATTCAACACGATGTTGAGATACTTGATCCCGTTGCCGAAACTGAACGACGGGTCCTCGAGCGAATCTGTCAAGACGACGAAGAAGATGTAGAAGTTACCCTGAGAAAGCCCGAGAGTAAGTTCGGAGCCTGACGAGATGACGGGGGATCGCTTACGAGAGCGAACCAGGAGAAGAACAGATTGAAGGTCTGGTAGATGAACTCCACGTGGATCCAGAACTTGCGCAGGAACGTGTGTGATGAGCGGTAGATGTAGTGGAACTTGACCGTCCCGTGTATGCTTGCGAAGAAGGAGCCGTTCAGCCATCGCCTCCGCTGTGATATCAGTTCTGGCACCTAGGGCGGACATGAGCATCAGCAGTCTGAGAAATATGTATTACTCGTACTTGATCCGGCACATCCGTAACAGCGTAGGCAGACTTCACATAGTGCAAGAGCCATGAACCGCCACGTTTCGAGACAAGTTCCCAACAGAGAATCTGGAGCAATCTTGTGAGAAATCATCTCAGCTAGCCTAGTACTTGAAGGCACTTACACGATCCTCGGCAAGGTACATGTTCGCAGTGAAGATGTCCGCACCGGCACCATGCTACGAAAGAAGGACTGAGCTAAGCGTATTCCCAAATATTATGAGAGGCTCGGGCAGTACCATTTTCTCGCCCAAGAAGTACTTCTGCAGGGGGCCCTCACCCGTTGGGTCGTTCTGAAGCGCAATGTACCTATATGCACTGAAGGCACCAGGCAACACCGTGATATACCCGAAGACAGATTCCAGAGGCTTGTCCAATATATTCGACATCTTGTATTCGAAGTTCTGCGCCGCGACTACAGCCCAGCAACTGTCAGCACCCACACGACCGTTCCGTACACCGAAAGAGGACGCACCAAGCGGGTTGATCATGTTCCGTCCAAACTTGCCCTTCAACGCCACGATCTCGCCGCACGCGCCGCCGACATTCGAGTTGATATCGAATGCCTTCCACAGGTGGTAGATGGACGTGGGACCCGGCATGGTGCCGACATCAAGCAGCACGCAGACATTCGGCTGGAGGATAGGCCCAAATGCATTGAAGAACCACCGATGCGAGTTGATCTTCTTCTGATTCTTCTCCTTCAGGCAGAAGATGAGCTGCACGGGAACGATGCCGCGATCGGCGCCTTCGAGCTTCATCGAGGGCGAGACAGAGACTAGATGTAAATGCTCAGTATCACCGATACCATGATGACGGTTGTTTGAGACTGACTCTGCGTGGTGTACTCATAGATGTGCGCGGTGACGGGTTTGTTCTTTATTACGTTCTACGGGACATAAGTTGGCTAGACTGCTGTCTTACAGGATTGGCTAACTCACCTTAGCAACACCCTCCTGGTACGCTCCCATGGCCGCAATGACACTCAGCGTCCTCGAGTTGATCTTCAGCCGCCCATCCGACACGATACATACAACCACCTTCTTCCAGCCCTCCTTCCCCCACGTCTTACTCCGGTCCCGCTTGCACAGGTGCGCAATGTTCTTCATCACGCCGTGCATCGTCCGGCAGAACAGCTCCTCGTCTTCGTTGTACATCGTCATCACGATGAACAGCTCCGTCCGCCGCGGCGGATCGTAGTGCACCTGCCGGAGCGTGAACCCCTCGTCCTTGAAGTCGTTTGGGTCGCACGTCGCCGCTGAGTACCGCATGTGTGTGAACTCCCGGTCGCCCTTCAGCCCGCACATATCCAGCAGCCTCGTCGGCACCGCACAGTCCACGACGAAGTTGCCCTGGAACAACCTGTTCCACCGTCAGTGCCGAGGCTGCGCCTGAGCAGATGTAGACACACTCACTCGACCTTCTTGATCGTCTTGTACCGGCGCGGAACACGCTGCGGTATCCGCCCGTATCTGATATTGCTTTCTTCCTCATCTCCCGCGACGGCCTGATAGTCGCCCGGTATCGGCAGGTTCGACGAATGCCCAGTGTCTCTCCGAAGGAGCGGGTAGTCGCCCACATCATTCAAGTCGTCGTCGGGCTCCTCTAGCTGCTCAGAGACTGGCCCTGGGTCATATAGCGACACCGGCGATGGGTGAATGATAGGCCCCAAGTTGCTCGCATGTACCCCTCCATATCCCGCATTCAGATAGTCGGGCTGGCCAAAGGGAGATGGAGACATCGTATGCAGCGGTGGCGACGCCGGGTGTACTGGAGCGGTTATTGAGTGCATTGGAGGTGAGCTGTGCATGTAAGAAGGTTGAGGAGGCGGAGAGGTGGTGTGCATATATGGGTTTTGCGGAGGTGGCGTGTGGTAGAGACTGGGATGCGGCGGCGCCTGCGGCTCCGCGAAGGGATCCACGGCGGTATGCAACGGTTGGTAAGGTTGATGCTCTTGCTCATAGTTCGGAGAAGGGTTCAGCTGGTACGGCTGCTGAGGTGCCTGATGCGCCTCGTATGGGTTTGGTGTGTAGCTCGAGTATGCTGAGGAGTAGCCATCGTTGTAGTGGCCGCGTTGGGCTTCGTCCGGCTGCGATGCGTTAGACGCATAGTGAGTAGAGAAAACGTAGATGCTCACCTCTGGGTAGTGCGACATTGCAGCAGTTTAGAGACGCGTCCGCGCGCGTACACTGTCTGATATCCGCTGCGGCTCGCGTCAAGCTGTGCGAGGCAGTGATGGGAGTGTCATTGGCGTCATTAGAGTCGTCGAACAGTTGCACTGACTACACTCACCAACCGGGTTGACTTCACCGCCCTAAGCTAAGCTCAGGCTGTACTGCGCAGTGGGTTGCCGAAGACACGCCGTCGCAGCGAGTGTTCCGCCGTAGCTTTGCTGCGCGTTTCGCACGGAAGAAAAGGATTAGTAGGTCGTCACCGTGCTGTTCAATATCGTTTGGATGCCGTATATCGTTTGGACGTCGTCAGGTGGGTGATGGTCGTGTAGTGGTCTCTCTGGCAGAGGCTGCTACAGTTATGCCCCGCAGACCATAAAAGGCAATTCAGAGCTCCTGGTTACTACCGCTAGGCTAGCCCATGCCTCGGACTTGCCACAAAAGGATTTTGAAGATTAAAGTCAAATTCCTGGTGCTCATTCGCACTCCTCACTCAACAGGTTGATGGATCCACTGAAACGGCTCTGCAAACTTACAAGGCGTAGGGTAAAACCACAAAATTTGTCTGATGCTCATGAAATTCACTGGCAGCATAATAAGTAGTGCACGCAACTTCGTCAGTTCAAGACTGCTCGCGGCGGGCCGCAGTCACGTCTTCTGTGCTCTCGCCTTCTCCGCCTGTGCCGCCAGTGTAACTGCCGACGTATCCTCCGCTTCAGCAAGGCTCAAGCTCCAATAAACCAGCTTGAACGACAATGATTTCCCTGCAATCTGAAAGATGTACGGTTAGTGAAGATTCCAGTCCGAGCCAGTATTGGTTGCCAACGCAATAGAATCGTTACATGTGGGGCAAAAAGCAAGCTGCCCCAGTGAGGCTCGAACTCACGACCTTCCGATTGCACATCACACAAACCACGCATGCAGTAGCGCGAAACATCGTAACAGTCGGACGCTGTGACCAACTCAGCCATGGGGCACCATTTTTGATTTAGCAAACGTAATGGGATAACTATACGTTTTGTTAGCAACCGGACGCGAGTCCGGCCGACAGCGCCCGCTCACTCCGAGACGTTCATCAGCGCCAGCAGTTCACTCACCCTTCGCCACCATGCAGCCTACGCTCATCCGTCGTCAGCTCGGCGGACTCGTGCCTCCCAAGATTGCGACTCCCTCTATTCTGGTTAGTGTTCTTCTTTACCTATAAATTCTCTTCGTTTCTTGCTCATTTGCATGTGCTGTAGTCTTCCGGCCAGGGTGCAGGCCTAGGCCCCCTGGTGAACTTCTACTCCAAGCTGCCCAAGGGCCCTGCTCCCGCCCCAGCTGTGCGTGGCCTCAAGGAGCGATTTTTCAACGGCAAGAACGCGTCTGCGGGCCCGTTGCTTTGGGGGATTCTGGGGATCTTCGGTCTGGGTTACACCCTTGACTACCAGAGTGCGTGACTGCTGTCTATGTTGGTAAATATACACTGATCGCGTTAAAATCCTACAGTGCACTTGAGTGCGTATGAGCCTTCCTTGACTTTGTTTGGTTGCTCAAACCTTGGTTGTAGAGCACCACAAGAACCACCCGCACTGATCGTCGAGCGAGAGGACGCCGGCTGGTTGTTGGATGAGTTAGATGTGAACATATCTTCGAATCAATGTCCTGTTTCTCTCCTGAAACACCCCTTGATCTGGAAAGCAGCAGATTTGGACAGACCTCACCGTGTTATTCGTAACAGGGACATGTACGCCCACCCAGTTTAATTGGCTCGTCGAACTTTTTCTACTTCGTTCGATGCCTCATTCCCTGGGAAGAGAAACTCTTTTCAGTCCCACCCGGGTCAAATCTCGCGGACGTTGGTCGTTCCACTGACCACAAAGTCGACGGAGGGCTGGGGAGCACACGCATATATGACTGTCGTCCAGTTCCCAATGCCCATCTCTTCCCACTAGCCCAACCAGTTGTTTTTGAAGCTGCCTACAGGAGACAAACGCGTCGTGCTTCTGTATGCATGTCCGGGTTCATCGTGCACCCGCGAACGTTTAGTCGGGCACAGTACGAGTTATGTACATTCCTGTTGGCCTTGGGTGCTAACTACTAGACACTCTCAATGTTTTATGAGATTGTACCACGTTTGGATCTGCATGCTTGACACCGGTTTCCGTAGCTCCGTAATGTGGTAGGTATTGGTCAACATTGCTGTGATTTGGATGGCATCAATCGCTTATCGCAGTCTTGTGTTGTATAGCGGTTTCTGCATAGCATAAACACAAAGTGGACAGCCTTGACCGAGCCACCTCGATGATATGTACTACTAGTCTTGGCGGCGCAAAATGCGTTCGTTCCACAGCTATTCCTGCGCACCGTACGAAAATCGCTGTACGAGGGCGGCATTGCAACTAATCCCTGACCGATATCGCAGGAACATTGACAGTCATCGCTTCTTTAGACAAAGTGAACATTGCGAATACATACCGGAGTGGCATCGTTTGCATCTGCAAGCCGACAATAAATGCGTAAGTGGTTGTTACCTCCGGCGGTCCATATCAAGACTGATGTGTGGATCGACTGCTTAGCCTCCGCACGTACATGCGACAAGGAGCCTGACACGATGGTCAGCAGTTTCGCCAAGTTATTTGTTGTACGATGCACGGGAGCAGTCTGTGCTTGGTACTCTTGTTCTTGGTGGGTCTTGTATAACACGGTTATACTTGTTGGCTGTAGGAGCATGAGCACACTTCGCAGTATGTTGTCCCGGGACCGCTCGCCGGCTGCGATGTTTAAACGTGATACTTGACTTCGGGTGTGCTTCCATGTTGGTACTGCTCGCCGTTCGGTTCGCGTGGAAGTTGGACGTGCTACAGGTGATATCTCACTCTCGGGACTAGAACATGGCGGGAACTATGGCCGGATTTTTGCGAATTCGCGTTGGTCAAGACGCTGGTATTAGGGGCCGGTGGCAGACTACTTTCCACCAACGTCAACTCGCTCACGTTGTCGATGCCTTCCTGAACCTTACGGAACTGCGTCTTCCTGGCAAACCACTCCCCTTCCTCCGCCCTCCACCGAGATCATGGGACACCGCTCTACCAGCTGTGTTTGACAGCTCTGACCGTCGGCCTCATGCTGGTCCTCAGTGGCTCTTCGCTCAGCGGTAGATCCCCGAGCAACCAACCACAACGTCGGCCCGATTCTGCTCGACTGTGGGTCGGCCTTGCGGAGTCTCACATTGAGGGTCGGGGGAAACGGCGCACGGCGCATGCACCATGAGCACGGCGGGTTGCGCCGTAACTGGCAGGCGATATCAGGCTACTTGGCATGCCTGTACACACGCCCATTATCTCACCATGGAAGAGATGGACATCAAGCTGTGCCGGTCAGTGTGTGTCTGCACTCAGGTCTTCGTGAGGCACCTACGAAACCTCCATGAAGGGTCCCAAACCCGGATTCCTGCATGACCCCCAGCGTTCGCGCGACTAGGGGAACATCTTTCCGGGTGTTTCCTCAGTGATCGGTCGTGCGATGCTTCCTTTCGATCCGGGTGGCTACAGACATGAGCTCTCCAAATGGACGACTTTCTTCTGAGCGCGATTCAGGATTCATTCCAGTTCTTTGCGGTGTTGTTCAAGTTTTCGATAAGTAAGGCACAGAGCGCGCAGAGTCAAGGGAGATGATCTATGGGTACTGATACAACCTTCGCTTACACATCTAAGACACAACTTGAGAGACGAGCATACCACTAGCCTGAGTATACGCCAAGAGTCACGGAAATCCATACAACAGATCGCCAGCAATCGTCTATCGAAAGCGAAATGGTTATGCGGGATCGGGGTCACTAGTTCCCTGTCGCCGCAGGCTCAGTGTCGTGGGGAATCGCGCGATCCAGATCCATTCGGACAGTTCCAACTTCCTCTTCGTGTGGAATCGTCCTTCCTTTCGACAGATGCAGTTCTGTGTCCGCAAAGGCTTGCGTTTGCTCCGTAGATACGCCGTTCCAAATCCGTATTATGATGAGATCGAAGGATATTCCCGCAGCTTCAAAGCTCTGTGGGACATCAATTAAGTAGAGGTCTGTTCCATAGCCACAAGGGACTGTTACGTACTAAGTTTGTCGCACAATAGTACGCATTTGAGCCCACAATGTCCAATGCGATACAGACGATGACAGTCGTCGTGTATAGCAGGGCAGACTCGACGATGATAAGGATCATTCGAACCAAGTTCAGTCGGCCTCGTCCTCGCCAGTTCTGTGTGAAGACTTCCGCACTGCGCCTATGAAAGTTCCAGAGCCTGACGATGATGAGGCCTGTATCGACAAACGAAATGATCAGCCCGCATTGAAGGCCTGCGGGATCCTATGCATAACAGACATACCAGTTGAAAACACGTTGATGATCAACGTTATGGAATAACAAGTGTAAATGAAGGGTTGTATTTCCCGAGTTGCAGGGATGGACGTTGCATGGTCTAGGATAGCCTTATAGTAGACGAGTAAAATCGTGATCGCTAGCCAACCCAACCACAGTATGAGTGGCGCGATGGCGACGATAGCTCTTCTGCGGGAGTAGGCATGCACGAGCCAGCAGCGATAAATCTGAAAATACTGTCAGCACGTTCTTTGTCCGATGTCTTGCACTGACCAAGGCGACATCAGAAACGGCTTCGTTGACGTCATAAAATATGTTCTATGTACTTGTTCAAAGCGTGAGCAATGACAAGTAGTTGTAACGGCACATACCCGTATGAAATTCACCCAGTTTGTGAATTGGTCGAACTCCTCGTTCGCCCCTCCAGGGCCTCGATAGAAGATGAATGCCACGAGGTTGTGGTAATAGTTGAGGGATACACTGCAGGTGCTGATAAAAAAGAATGTCATAGCAACAAGCATCCAAAGTCGACGGCCAGCGACCCCAGCATTGGAGTCGCTCGGGCGGTAAAACCAAGTATACAAGCATGCGGCAAAAGTCACCACGTGCATACCGTACGCAATGCTTTGCAAGACCAGAGCGGTGAGTTCTGCCTCTGCAATAGGGAAGTTTGCCATCGTGCAACGAATCGGGGATACAGTGAGTAGGAGATACATTGGCCATTATAACAAGGTGAGCGGCGCTAGGCCACACTTCCGCGACAGGTCCTGTGTAATCCGTGCATGGTAGCTGACAGCAATGGAAGGCGGAGCAGTCAGTAAAAGCAATGCTTCTGATCGCTCGTTGAGCGCACAGAAGATCATTCACTAGACGGGCTGACCACTGGGGCAATGTTAGTGAGGTCTTGATATAGTTTCAGCGATGTGGCAGAACCTACTAGATTCTTCAGTCGGCGGCCGAGGCACAGACGGATGTTGGCATACCTAAATGCGGCGCTGGCAGAGTAGTGTGCTGTATTAAGACTATCACCATAATGACCAAAAGGCCAGTGCAATGTATGGCGTTGGTAGCGAAGTCCGCCTGACAGCTATGCATACCGGCTGATTCCGAGACTAGCGATCCGGGCGGCACCGAGTGGACGCCTGGGACTCACGATTAAGGTGGCAGTGAGTCCCTTCCTTGATCTGGGACACCGAGAGCCAGTGCTCTTGTTATGATGGTGAGAGTCCGTGTTATGCTCGCCAGGCGAAATCAGCTTGTGGATGCCGCATTGTTCGCCGACGAGCCGCATTGAGCCCTACGAAGATGAAGAATTGTATGAGCAGAGTGACCACGCTATCAGAAAATGAATGGTAACATGGCTAAGTCTGAGAACGGGGAATACATCATCGATTCATTGACAGTCACCTGGAGTGCGGGATATATTACGGGCTCGTCTTGCAGTGTTATGTCGTCAGTGCAATGCGAGCAGATGCACTTCCCCAGATTTGGTGCGATAGCTGCCAGATAAAGAAGGTGCCCGCGGTGGCCACTGGCGGCGCCACCACGTCCCCGACCTTGACGTCAGGACGGTCATGGTGACATCACGTCCCCACATCCCCAATCGTCGACGCGTATAAGAAGGGACC